TCTTTCATGCCTAAGGCAGGACTAGAACTCAATGTCTCCTGGTGATTGGCCCAAAGTCACCCAACTATCTTTCATGCCTAAGGCAGGACTAGAACTCAATGTCTCCTGGTGATTGGCCCAAAGTCACCCAACTATCTTTCATGTCTAAGGCAGGACTAGAACTCAACGTCTCCTGGTAATTGGCCCAAAGTCACCCAACTGTGTTTCCTGCCTATGTGGGACTAAAACTCACCATCTCCCGGTTTCTAATCTGGTGCCTGAAACTCTAGACGATATTTTGAAGCTGCTCCATTTTGTTTTCTCCTCTCTACCGCTCTGGTTCCAAATTTAATGAGGACTATCCCCTCATACAAGCTAGTCAGCAGCTCTTCTGAAGCCTTGCTTCCTTTCCCTCCACAGGCACACACAAACTACTTGACAACAACTGAGTGTCAAAAGCGCATGATTGATGTGGTAAGGGCGGCCACAGATCAAACCGGCAACGACAGATCTAGTCAAAGCACTTCAGGCGGAGTGTAGTTGCTGTTTTTTATTTTTTATTTTAAAAAAATGGCTTATGTTTTCAGTAACATCCATCACATCTGCCTCATCGATTTGATTTTTACATCGGCATCTTGTGGAGTCAAAATTTTTACAGTATCTTCTTGCTTTTAAAAATAAGATATAACCTTTATTCTCGCTTTTTTTTTTCCTGCGAACACACCAGCACCCATTTAAAAACTCAGATAACAGATAACAAATAATCTGTTGGAAGGCACATTGTAGGTCATCTAGTCCAACCCCCCACCTAAGCAGGAGACTCTACACCATTTCTGACAAATGTCAGTCCAGTCGCTTCTTGAAAGCCTCCAGTGATGAAGCTCCCACAACTTCCGAAGGCAACTTCTGCTCCATGGGTTTATGGTTCTCCCTGTCAGAAAGTTTCTCATTTCCAGGTTAAATCTCTCCTTGTTCAGTTTCAATCCATTATTCCTTGTCTGGCCTTCGGATGCTTTAGAAAATAGCTTGACCCCTTCCCTCCTCTCTGTGGTAACCCCTCAAATATTGGAAGACTGCTATCCTGTCTCCCCTGGTCCTTCTCTTCACGAGACTAGCCAAACCCAGTTCCTGCAACCGTTCATTGTATGTTTTAGTCTCCAGTCCCTTAATCATCCTGGTTGCTCTTCTCTGCACTTTTTCTAAAGTCTCAACCTCTTTTTTTATAATGTGGTGACCAAAACAGGATGCAGGACTCTAGGTGTGGCCTTACTAAGGCTTTATAGAGTGGTATTAGTACCTCCCTTGATCTCGATTGTATCCCTCTGTTAATGCAATTTAGGATTGCATTAGCTTTTTTGGCTGCTGCTGCACACGGCTGGCTCCTATTTAGCTGATTGTCCACTAAGACTCAATTTTGTGCGTTCTTTCTCAAAAGTTCTTCTCAAAAAATTCTCAAAAATTGGACACGGGTGGAAAGAGGGAGATAAAAACGCCAAATTTGCTTGTAAAAATGTTTCCTTTTGTTTAGGGGCCGATTCGTTTAGTGACCAATTTGTTTAGCGATGGTTCGAAGTGAGGACGGCACTGAAAAAAAGGTGCCGCTTCACACTTAATGATCTTAATTGCAGCATCTCCATGGTCATGTGATCAAAATTAGGGCGCTGGGCATGTGATTCATATTCACGACGGTCGTAGCGTCCTGGGATCATGCGATCCCTTTTTGTGACCTTCTGACAAAGCAAAGTTAATGGGGAAGACAGATTCACTTAACAACCGTGTTGCTAACTTAACAACGGCAGGGATTCCCTTGACAAATATGGCAAAGGAAACTGTTAAAATGGAGCAAAACTCAGCAAATTTCTCATTTAACAGCATAAATTCTGGGGCCCAATTGTGGTCGTAAGTCGAGGACTACCTGTACATCACTATTTCAACTTTGACACGGGAACTTATTCCGGAGTGACGTGGAAGAGGCCACTCTACCACCGCCGACGGCTCCTCGCCACTAAAAAAATCAACTCACAAATACCTTCTCTACTCCAATCTTGGCAACTTTACAATTTGTGGACTCCCAGAATTCCCCAGCCAGCCAACCTTAAGGCTTATGGACTTCAACTCCCAGAATTCCTCCTCCAACATGGCTGGCTGAGGAATTCTGGGAGTTGAAGTCCACAAGTCGTAAAGGCGCCACGGTTGGAGACCCCTGCTCCAGAGGGATGTGAAATTCTCAACCTCCCCGAAAATAAAGGTGAAAACCAGAAGCCTCTTTCCCACTCACCCCACACTCACAGAGGACGAAACGGTCCCAGGACGCACGAGAGGGACTAGAAACCGCATTTTACCTGATCTGATGGGACGGCCGAGTCCTCGCCTGCCGTGGCGAGGAGGGCCTTGCTCCGGTTAAGATCGGAGGCATCCACTTTGATGAGCCGGTGTTTGGGCGACCCGTATTTCCCTTCCAAATTGCCGCTGCAGCCGCCGCACCCTTTATTTGGCGTGCCTCCGATGTCCGGATCAGTTTTGCCGTCCCCGTCTTCGTACGGATCCTCGAAGTCTAAGCTCTTCTGGGCACGATAGGCCTTTAGGATGTCGCTCTCGGTGTAATCGGGCTTGGGGGGCTGTGGGGGAGACCTCCTGCTCCCAAAACTGAGGTAATCCTTAAACCATTTGGCCATGATGGGTCCTCCTTTATCCGAGGTCGGTAGCGGCCAGCAAAAAAACCCTCCAGGCCCACCAAATTTCCGGCGAGATGGACAAGCCAACTAGGAACGGAAGGCAATTTTCAAATCCTCGCTTAAGATCATCCGTGTGAATTGGGATTGGCAATCCGGATTAGCTGCTATCCGTCACTACTCCTGATGGGAAGAAGGAAAGGGAAGTGGAGTGGTTATTTCAGCCTGTACGAGGAGTGCTCGATTTACAACCGTTCATTTGGTGAATGTTCAAAGTTACGACGGCACTGAAAAAAGGGATTTAGGACTGTTTCTCTGTCTCTCTCTTTCTCTGTCTCTTTCTCCATCTCTCTTTTTCTTTCTCTGTTTTTCTCTGTGTGTGTTTCTCTCTCTCTCTCTTTCACTTTCTTTGCCCCTCTTTCTTTCTTCCTCTCTCATTCTCTCTTTCTTCCTCTCTCTCTGTCTCTCTCTTTCTCTGTCTCTTTCTCCATCTCTCTTTTTCTTTCTCTGTTTTTCTCTGTGTGTGTTTCTCTCTCTCTCTCTTTCACTTTCTTTGCCCCTCTTTCTTTCTTCCTCTCTCATTCTCTCTTTCTTCCTCTCTCTTTCTCACTCACATTCTCACTCTTTTTCTCTGTCACTTTCTCTTTCTCTCTCTCTCTCTCTCTGTTTCTCTCTTTTTTCTGTCTCTTTCATTACTTACTCCACCCATCCATCTCTATTATCCATCCATCCATCCATCCATCCATCCATCCAATTGCTCCATCCATCCAGGCGAGAGAGTTTCAACTATAAGATGTGGACTTCAACTGATATAGATCTCTCTTTCTCTCTTTCACTTTCTCCCTCTCTCTTTCTCTCTCTTTCACATCCTCTGCCCTTCTCTCTCTTTCTCTCTCTTTCTTTCTCTCACTTTCTCACTCACTTTCTCTCTCTCTCTCTCTTTTCTTTCTTTCTTTCTTTCTTTCTTTCTTTCTTTCTTTCTTTCTTTCTTTCTTTCTTTCTTTCTTCTTTCTTTCTTTCTCTTTCTTTCTCTCTCTTTCTTTCTCTCTCTCTTTCAGTACTTACTCCATCCATCAATCTCTATCTATCCATCCATCCATCCATCCATCCAATTGCTCCGTCCATCCAGATGAGAGATTTTCAACTATAAGATGTAGACTTCAACTTCAACTGATATA